ACTTGCCCTTGTTACAAGAAAAAGATCTTTTAAAGCTTTTAACAGTACAAAAAGCTTTGGCACTATGGCAAAAAAAACAAAAAACAACAACAAACACTGATAAGGAAAACACCAAAAATGAGAAGTCTATACAAGTAGAAGGCAATAACTCAGGATCACTAGAACATATCAACAAAAGCAACTCTAGCTGGGATAAACAAGTAGCTCAAGAAACTAAGGAACTCAAGGAAATAACAAATACACAGAAAGAAGAACTTAAAGAAAATAGTACATAACAAAAGAGAAAATCTCATTAGTAGAAAGAATAACAACATATAAACACTTTTAGAACAAAACAACAATACTTCTACACATAATGAAGAGGTTATTGAAGTCAATACATATAATAAAGAGGTCTTTAAAATCAATACACATAATAAAGAGGTCTTTGAAATTAGTACACGTAATGAAGATAACACCCAAACAACAACATGTAACAAAGAGGTCTCTGAGACAAGTACAGGTAACAAAAACAACATGGAAACAACAACTCAAAATGAACCAATGAATGAACAAAAGGACTCTACCTTGAACAAAAAAATGGTCAAGTTTCTTTTCAAAACTTAAAAGAGGCCAGTCAACTTACTCATTCTTTTCTTCTAGGAACACAATTAAATCAAAGAATGAAAATGCTCTCATTATTGATATACAAAGCCTACAATGCTCTTTTAATGAAATTATGTCATCCTTATTCGAAACAGCTAAAAATGATATTATCATAGCTAAACAACATCTTACTAAAGGAACACGATTACATTTAGAAATTATCTTTACAGACAAAGAAAAACTAAAGATCTATGCAACAAAAGGTATTAAAATTTTCAACAGAACATATTTTGGATATGTTCCAATGGATATGAGAAAATCATTCTTGCCAGTCAAAATCGGGAATGTCCCACTAGGCAACAAAAAAGAACTGTTAGACTCAATTAAAGATGCTTTTAAGAATATAGGTAAAATAGCATCGATTAAACCTCTGTTAATTAAAGGTACACCATACCTAACAGATTAGTAAGTTATAATTTTCGAGACTACAGAGAATCCATTTTTAGAAGGCAAAATACCAAGATTTACCCATATTTGGGATAACAAAGTCACAACAGAATGGAAGGCAGCAGCAAAAGTATGTTACTTCTGTGAAAAAGAAGGGCATATTAAAAAGAAATGCCAGCTATTCCAGAAATCTGTAGCCCTTCGCCAACAATATCAAGACTTTAAAAAAAGAATTGGATCATACAGCAAAGAAAAATCAGCTAATATCAGGCCAGAACAAGAACCCCATGCAGGTAGTTCTGCTAACAAAGAAGAAAACCCATACTTGCAAGATGATGCATCTATCACAGATAGTGTGGGCTTACAAGAAAATGATTTAACACAAGATGAACAAAAAGGGCCTTTGTCACTTTCAATAAAATAGACAATGATAAAAAAAACTCTACACTAAATAAAAATAAGAATCTCTTAACTGACCCAATATCAGCATCATATGATGAACTGGCTGCACTGTATCTTAATGCTGAACCATAGGCAGGAAACAAAGACACAGAAGAAACATCACCTATAATGGAAGTTGACAATAAGAAGACCCCCAAGCCATCTTGTAAAAAAGACAAAGATAAAAAAGGAAAGAGCTTACAGGATAAGAACCAATTAAGGCCTAGCCCTTACAAGAAACAATGTAATGAGGAACTGCCCTCACAGACCTAATTGGTCAAAATTCTTGTACATTTATATGCCTCTGAAATTCAAACTTAAAATCGCAACTTTGAATGTAAAAGGACTAAATGACCAAGGCAAACAGTAAAAAACATTAACATTCTTAAAATCCTACAATTTAGATTTAATAATGATACAAAAAACTAATCTTAACAATGAAAACACTAGAAACTTTTTAAAACACCAATGGATATTTGACTCATTCTGGTCAGACAAAGTGGCAATTCTGGCTAGAAACAGAAACATTACCTTTAAAAATATGAAAGTAAACAATGATGGATGAGTTATTACAGCATCATTTGTTTACAAAGGTCTCTTATTTCATATTACTAATGTGTATGCACCTCCAAACATTAGCAACAGAGTAACATTTTTTGACAA